AGGTATTATTTTGATTGGACCTTTTTAAAGAAAATTTTGATGCCACCATAATTAGACGTAGACAAAACTGGAAAGAATTAGTTAGCAGTCATCTACTGCTCACAGAGACAGGTCTAAACAAGGGGATTTGATTTGATTTTTAAAATAAACCCATGCATGAATGACTTGTAAATCTAGCAACAATGCTTTTGGATTTATCCTTTTATGTATATGTATATGTGTGCATATGCATTTTATTTTATAGGAAAAGCACTGACTGCTAACCACAAGGTCAATAGTTCAAACCCACTAGCTGCTTCGTGGGAGATAGATGAGGCTTTCAGTCCCGTAATGATTTACAGCCTCGAACACCCTATACAGGGTCACTATCAGTCAGAACTTGATGGTCTTTAACAACAACAGTTATAATACGCCTCACGAATTTTGTCAATAGTTGCCGTTGAGTTGTCTCAGACTCATATCAATGATGAAATGTTTCCTCACCCTGCACCATCTTTGTGATCTTTGCTGTGTCAGAACCCACTATTGGGGTTATGTGTCAATTCATTTCACTGAGGGTTGCCCCATGTTTGCTGACCTCTACTTTACCAAACGTAAATGTTGTTGTTGTTATGTGCCGTGGAGTCAGTTCTAACTCATAGCGACCCTGTACAGGGTTTCCGAGGCTGTAAATCTTTACTGGAGCAGAACGCCTCATTTTTCTCCCACGGAATGGCTGGTAGTTTCGAACTGCTGACCTTGTGGTTCACAGACCGATTCGTAACCACTACGCTACCAGAGCTCCTTAAATAGAGATCTCATAATAAAACTCTGAACTATGAATAATAAACACAATGTGTGTGATGTTTAGACTTTGGAACAGGAGACATCAACATTCTCTGATGGTAGAGTTGGTGATTACTGTCTTCTGGGGTCCTGGGGTGGTACTGTACTCGATTGAAAGGTCGGTTTGAACTGCAAGGATGGAGGTTCAAACTCACCAGACATTCCTTGGAAACCCTCTACAGGGTTGCTATAAGTAGGGAACTACGCAATGGCACTTAACAACAACAACTGCATTCCAGGTCACTGGACAATTCTTCCCAAATATTGTCCTGGCCTTTGTGAGTTCTGGATGCAGGTGTCTTCCATGCTGTCCGTGACCTAGACCTCAAGCGTATGTACTTAGATTTCCAGTCCCAAAGTCTTGTTGCCTCAGCACCTTCTCGGAGGGAAGTTCTTGAAGGGGAGGGACACTTATCTCAGAAATCACCCGCGTCACCATCCCAACCCCAGTGGGGCCTGGAGCTGCTGTGTTGAGAGCTGAGTGGACAAGGAAGAGCTAGCCTTATTGTGTGGGCTCTGAGTTGAGGAGTTGGTGCAGAGATGGAAAGAAAGAGGCATCTTTGATGCCTCTCCCTGTATGCCCCACCGTCTCCAACCCTGACCTGGCCTTGGCCACCTCTCAGCTCCCTTCTTCTACAACTCCCCTGCCCGCTCTCTTTCCTCAATCCTTTCCATGTCTCTCTCTGCTTCCAGTTTCCAACTTCATTTCCGGGTTCCCCTTTGCCTCGTGTCCCTCACAAAGCGGGAGTTTTGCCGTATTATTATCCAGTGATCTAAGTGCTGCCGGAACTCTTCACTGTCAGAATTGTCTGAGCTCCTCATTCTCTTTGGTCAAATACCTCCAGTCCATGTGTCCATTTCCTAAGTCCACAGCAGCATTTACATAGTAACAAAATATTAGTAATACAATGGAATATCCATCAGTGCCAGGTTAAATGATTTATGTCTCATCTATGCAATGAAGGCTGGTGTGGTGTTGCGGGCAAATGCACTGGACTGCCAGATCCCTTTGAACCACAAGGTTGGTGGTCCAAGCTCACCAGCCACTCCTCAGAAATCCTATACAGGGTTCCTATGAGTCAGAATTGACTCGAAGGCACTTAACAACAACAACATACATGCAGGCAGTATTCAGTTAAAAAAAAAAAAAGCGGGTGAAAACTCTGTAATGATTAGAGACGATCTCGAAGCTATAGCATACACTGAATGTATACACTGTATCTTTTGGATACCTTTTGTGTAAGGAAGAGAGTCAAATGAGCACACATTCATATTTGCTTCTATTGCTTCTATTTTCTTATGAAAGCTAATAAGTATGTGTACCCCACACCCCCAAAATAAAAATAAAAATAAAAATAAAAATAAAAATAAAAATAAAAATAAAAAAGGTAATGGAGGTAAATGCTGTTGACTGATGGTGCATGGAAGGGATTGTAATCACTGTAAAGATTTGTTGGCTGTAAGGTTGATGATCTGCCCTACAAACCTTCACTCAATTCACAATAAAAGCTTTTTTTTTTAAAATCTCATTTTCTGAAGGAACCTCAGGTAAATCTGGGTCTAGAAAAACCTATCACCAGTCTAGTTATGTTGAGTTTTTTTGTTTTGTTTTATTTCAAAAAGTAATATGTAAATAATGCACTAACGTGTATCATTTTAAAAAATGTCTTGATAGCTATCTGTGCTTGAAGTCCATAATGCTGGTCACCAAGTACTCATTTTCTTAATTAGGACAATACATATCTCAGATTAAAATAATAATAAAAAAAGCCAATAAGTGTGGGATTGGGAAGGAGGTAGAAGGATTAGTGGAGAGAGAAAGACTTCACTCTAGGCCTTTAAATCTTCTTTTTATCTCTGCAGCCATGTGTATGTATTGCTTAAACAAAAATAAAAATAATTTTTGTGTCTTAAGAAATGTGTTTATATTCACACTTTCTGTCCCTTTTAATGGTCCAAGAATATCTGCTTTATTTACAACTTTTTTCTCTTGTTTGTAAGCTTTATTCTGATTATGCTTAAAATAGTGATTCTTTCAAATAACTTTTGTAACCAAAATTTCAAGTACTGAACAAATGCTATTGGGATTTTGTTTGGAATTTAATTGAGTTCATCGATGCACTTGGTAAGAATGCACGTTCTTATGGTACTAGGGTTTTTTTCAATGAAAAGAATTAACCTGAATAATTTCTCTTTATTTAGACCTTTTAACTATGTCCTTTACTAATGTTCTTCTTAAGTGTTGTGTACATCTTTTGCTATATTTATGCATAGTTAACTCATAGCTTTTATTATTATTATTATGAAAGGTAGTTTTTCTATTCTATTTAATGATTGTTGTATTTATAAGAATACTGTTAGTTTTTGAATGTTGATCTGTTTGTTGGAACAGTGCAAAATTTTATGGCTTGTGATATTAAAAAAATACAAAGCAAATTGCAAATTGTGAGTGGCCATGTTAATGAACCCAAAAGAATGAAATGTAGAAATTCAGGAAAGTGCTTCACTAGCAACAAATGCAAAACAACAGTTCACTGATATATATATATATATATATATATAGACTTCAAAAAGTCCATGGAGAAATTCCATTATTTTTTAATTCCATGTTTCCATGAGCCTTTAAAACTCCCTTCTACATGTAATGATATACTCAATCATTATTGGTATACATTGCTATTAGACATAAATGGCAAGCAGCTTACATAGTTGACTATAATCCCCACTGGTTTTATACAGACATCCATGATGATTTAATTCTCAACACTTCAAATGCATAAGGTCTCTCACATCTCCTTTTCCATACACTGAGGAGTGGGTAGCTGAGGTCTTGTGGCGAACACTCAAGAGACCCAAGACTCTATCGCTCTTGTGTTTCTTCCAGGATGGTCACATGACCTCAACATTCCCTTCCCCACTTGACTTCCATTGGTGACCAGTGTTCCCTTTCTGCCATCTGCTTCTCCTTGCCACTCCAAATGTTTGCTCCTCGGTTAAGTGGACCAGTCTGGGTTAGTGGGTTGCCAGGTAATGTGGGTCTGGAGCCCTTTGGGGCTGTAGGCTTTCTCTAGCAGCAGGAGCTCCCTAGAACTGAGGAGAGTGATGTGTTATGACCCAAGGGATCCATAAATCTCTCCCACATTCTTACAACTCAACACACCATGGTCAGGTTATCAAAACTGAAGAGCGAATGAAATCTACTGATTCAAATTCTGGTAGAAAAAGAGCTCTTTATGCTATACTGTCGACTCAGGTCAGACCAAGAAAATCTTTCAGCTCAAGTGTCTCTTTATGGCTTGGATGAAGAATCGTCCGTTCGTTTGGTCACTTGGCTGCTTGGTCATCTTCTGAGGATCTCTCAGCAGATTCCTGCCCGGAGCAGATCTTCCCCATTCCCGTAGGCACTCCTCTCTCTGCCTTAAGCTTTGCTTCAGGTGTTCTTCTCTAGACCTGGCCTCACTTCAGACTGAGGAGGTCTCTGATTTCCACCAAGGGACCCATGTGGTTGGGGGTCTCTTGAGAACAGAGGTGGGGGATCACAAAAGCTTAGTGTATCCTTTTCCATCCACACAAGTCTCTAAGTAACTGTCACACTGAGCAGTCTGCAGTTTCTCCCCATGAGCTACTATGGAATTTCCCCCTGGTAATGTGGCCATGCGTGTTAAGGATGAAGCAAACCTTGGCCAAAGACTAAACCCTGATGGTTAGTCCAAAATGTCAAGCTCTATAGAAACAGATTATTCTCCACACCAGGTGAGTCATCTCCATAAAGCTGACTTTTTTCCCTGAGATGGCGACCACTCAGCCTTCAAAGCAGAGCCTAGAAATTCATCCTGCCAATCAAGCAAGGGCCTCTACTAATGGACAGATTGACAAAGGGGTCATTGACTAGATAGATGACTTGTGTGGACCCACATTGGGCCACACGTGAGTGTCTCACAGGAAGGAGTCTTGGGGACTGATGGCTCAAAATGGGGAGTTTGTCCAGGTACATACATGTAAGTCTATTTGTGGAGTGGTACCTGAACCCTAGGGTTTGTTAATGAGCTCTGAAGTAGGCTGTGGATGTTTGATGTGGTTTGATGCTCTGTATTTCCTGGTCCAGTTGTTTATAGTCTTTTTGCTGCTTCCCTGAGTATATTTGGGGATCTCATCAGAGACAATAGGGATGGTTGTTATTTGGCTTTCTTCTCACAGATCCAGCGGTAGCTGATGTCACACAGTGCAGAATCAAATGTCGTTGTTGGGCCTATGGTCACACAGTGGAAATCCTGACTGTAGCTGGTGACACTGGTGAGAAAGAAGATGTGGTTAAATTCTCATTGGTTCCAGAGTGAGGGCCTCAGAGGTGAGGGAGGAAGGGGTGGACACTTGACCAGGTTTACACATTCATCCTCAGACCAGCTTTCCTTTCCTACTGAGGCCCCTCAATGTCCTCAGCCTCCCCTGAAAGGTCCCCATGAGCTACCATGGAATCAACCTTGGGTTAACACACTGTCTGACATAGCTAGTGCTGCTATATCAGAAATATCACAAGTAGATGACTTTAATAAACAGAAATCCCTTCACAGTTTAGGAGGCTAAAAGTCCAAATTCAGAGTGTCAGTCTAGGGGAAGATTTTCTCTGTCTGTCAGTTCTGGAGGAAGGCCCTTGTATCCTTTCAACACCTGTGTCCCTTGGAGAACTCCATAAGCCTTGACATGTATCTCCCCTGGGTCTAGGAAGTTCTCAGTATAGGGACTCTAGGTCTAAAGAATACTCTCCACTCTTCCACACAAAATGGGGGACGATCACACAATACTGGGAATCATGGCATAGCCAAATTGACACATATTTTGGGGAACAAAATTTGATCTATGACACTTACTTTTGTGTTTGATCAAGAACATTTCATGGATGTCCCTTCTCCTAGAAACAATGCTCTAGATATTAGAGTATGTACCAAGTTAACAGCAGATGGACACGTAGGAGAGGAAAGCGGTCCCTATGCTTCTCCTAGGTACCAGCTGACTTTAGACTTAACTTGGTGATGTTAGTGGCCTTTCCCCACTTTTGTCTGTCATTTCGTCCATCACAGGAAAGAGTGTGACTTCATGGAAAAGCCATACATTTTGGAGTCAAGTGGATGTGGGATAAAATTGTGACTCTACCACCTCCCTTTTGGGGATAGTCAGCACATTTATAAACCTCTCCAGTCCTCAATTCAATCATCTGTTAAATGGAGATTTACGAGATTTATTTTTTAATATAGCGTCATGATGAATACTAAAGGAAATAACATGTTTAAAGCATTTGCTAGTTGCCTGGCCTTTATAAGACTTTGAGGGATACCATTTTCCTCCCTTCTTTGGGGAAACCTAGTTCTGGTGTGGTGTTGTGGGCTAATGAGTCAGACTGCAAAGTCATTTGAACTGCAAGGTTGGTGGTTCAAGCTCACCAGCTGCCCCTTGGAAATGCTATACAGGGTCCCTATGGGTCGGAATTGACTCGATGGCACTTAACAACAATAGCAATAGTTACAGGCTGGAGAATTGACTTGCTGTCTGTCTGCCTCAACATTCCCATATATACACTGGGAACGTTATATTCTCTACCAACTATGGAATGATGCATAGAAGACAGCATCATCTCTTTATCACCTTCCTTTATATAAGGAAGTCACATCTGAGGAAATCTGTTGTTGTTGTTGTTAAGTTCTATTGAGTTGGTTCCAACAGAAATCCTGTATAGGATTTCCAAGGAGCAGCTGGTGGGTTTTAACCTTGCTGTTAGCAGTCCAGTGCTTATCCTACAGCGTAACACCAGGATTCTGAGAAAATCTGTAAGAATGTAGCAATCAAAGGTGACTGATGAGGTAAAGAGACTTTGAGATCTATCAACCAAATGCTATGTGAGTGGATCCTGATTTGAACAAAACATTTCATTATATGAATACTCTTCTCTCTACTTATGAATGTTTGAACTTTTTCATAATAAAAGATTTACAAAAATTGGGTCTCTGAAAATAGACAGTGCTATGGATTGAATTGTGTCCTCCAAAAAAGTTATGTTGAAGCCCTAAGCCATGCCCCCGTGGATGTGATTCTGTTTGGGAATGAGGTTATTTTTTGTTATAAGCAGTCTTATAAAAAGGGAAAACACATACATATAAGGGAAATTACCCAGTGAGGATGGAGGCAGGTGTATACACAAGTCAAGAAATGTTAAAGATAGCTGGTAGCTCTCTCTCTCTCTCTATATCTATCTATCTATCTATCTATCTATCTATCTATCTATCTATATATATCTTTATATATCCACCACTTGTCTGTTAGTTTATTGCAGTGTGGTGGTTGCATGTTGCTTGATGCTGGAAGCTATGATACCAGTATTTTAAATATCAACAGGGTCATCCATGGTGGACAGGTTTCGTCTGAGCTTCCAGACAAAGACAGACTAAGAGAGGTGGCTTGCTTATGAATGTTTAGTCACTGCAAACCTTATGAATATTAGTGGAACATTGTCATATATAGTGTCAAAAGATGAAAACATTATGAATGGTGTCAGAATATTGTCATAGATAGTGCAAAATATTGAATGAAGATATAGGTAAAAAATATACATAGAGATAAAATAATCCAAGCCTTGACTTTCAATATTGAAGGATTCTATGGGCAAAATGGAGGAAAATATTGAAAACACCATGGGCTGCCAAAAGAACGAACAGATCTGTGTTGGAGGAAGTACAGCCAGAGTGCATCCTGGAATCCAAGATGGCCAAATTAGTCTCTCATACTTTGGACATATTATCAGGAGGGACAGTCGCTGGAGAAGGATATCATGTTTGGTAAGGTGGAGGGTCAGAGAAAAAGAGGAAGACCCCCAACAAGATGGATTGGCAAAGTGGCAGCATCAATGGGCTCAAGCGTGGCAATTGTGAGGTTGGCCCAGGACAGGGCAGTTTTGTTCTGTTGTGCATAGGGTCGCTATGAGTCGGTATCAACTCGACAGCACATAACAACAGCAATAACAATGGACAAAATGGAGTCCTGATGTGGTGCTTTAAGATAAACTCTGGACTGCTAGCCACATGACTAGAAGTTCAAACCCATAAGATGCTCCTTGAAAAGTATATAGGGTCAGAGTCGACTGGATGGCACAATGAACAAAATAATAAATGATGCAGAAAGCACCAAAAGAAGATGGAAGGTACTACAGAGTTACTGCACCAAGAAGAAATGGTCAATGTCCAACCATTCCAAGAGGTAATGCATAACCAAGAAGGAAGAAGTCCAACATACACAGAAGGAATTGGCAAAAAACAAGGCTCCAGGAATTGATGGAATATAAATTGAAACCTTTCAATAAACTGATGCAGCACTGGAGACACTCATTCACCTATGCCAAGAAATTTGGAAGACAACTATCTGGCCGACTGATTGGAAGAGATCCACATTTGTGCCCATTCCAAAGAGAGGTGACCCAATGGAATGTGTAAATCATCGGACAATCTCTTTGATATCTCAAGTGAGTAAAGTTTTTCTAAAGGTAGTACAGAAACGGCTGCAATCATACATTGACAGAGAACTTCCAGAGGTTCAAGCCAGATTCAGAAGAGGCTATGGAATGAGAGCTATCATTGCTGATATCTGATGGATCTTGGCTAAAAGCAAAGCATATCAGAAAGATGTTTATCTTTGCTTTATTGACTATGCAAAGGCTTTTGATTGTGTGGATCATGATAAGCTATGGACAACATTGAGAAGTATGAGTATTCCAGAACACTTAATTGTACTCAAGAGGAATCTGTACCTGGACCAAGAAGCAGTTGTTCTAACAGAATATGGGAACACTGAGTGTTTTAAAATTAAGAAAGGTGTGCGACAAGGTTGTGTTCTTTCACCATACTTATTCAACCTGTATGCTGAGCAAATACTACAATAAGCTGGGTTCTATGAAGAAAAACATGGCATCAGGATTGGAGGAAGACTCATTAACAACCTGCGATATGCAGATGATACAACCTTGCTTGCTGAAAGTGAAGAGGACTTAAAACATTTACTGATGAAGATCAAAGAGCACAGCCTTCAGTATGGATTACATCTCAATGTAAAGAAAACAAAAATCCTCACCACAGGACCAATAAACAACATTCTTATCAATGGAGAAAAGATTGAAGTTGTCAAGGACTTCATTCTTCTTGGATCAACCATCAACACTCAAGGAAGCAGCCGTCAAGAGATCAGAGGATGTATTGCATTAGGCAAATCTGCTGCACAGGACTTTTTTAAAGTGTTGAAGAGCAAAGATGTCGGCTTGAGGACTAAGGTGCGCCTGACCCAAGCCATGGTATTTTCAATAACCTCATATGCATACGAAAGCTGGACAGTGAATAAGGAAGACTGTAGAAGAATTGATGCCTTTGAATTATGGTGTTGGAGGAGAATACTGAAAGTGCCATGGGCTACCAAAAGAACCAATAGGTCTGTCTTGGAAGACATGTAGCCAGAGTGCTCCTTAGAGGCCACGATGGCCAAACTTCGTCTCTCATACTTTGGACATATTGTCAGGAGGGAACAGTTGCTGGAGAAGGATATCAAGTTAGGTAAGACGGAGGGTCAGAGAAAAGAGGAAGATCCCCAATGAGATGGATTGGCCAGGTGGCAGCATCGATGGAATCAAGTGTGGCAACTGTAGTGAGGTTGGTGCAGGATGGGACATTGTTTCGTTCTGCTGTCCATAAGGTCGCTTTGAGTCAGTGCTGACTCAATGGCACCAAACAACAACAACAGCATAGGGTCACTATGAGTTGGAACTGACATGACAACACCTAACAACCATATATATTTGTTACAATAGCACTAACATACTAAGGATCTCTGGTAGCGTAGTGGTTACGAATCGGGCTGTGAACCACAAGGTCAGCAGTTCAAAACTACCAGTTGTTCTCCAGGCGAAAGATGAGGCTTTCTGCTCCTGTAACGATTTACAGCCTTGGAAACCCTGTACAGGGTCGCTATGGGTCGGAACCAACTCCATGGCACATAACAACAACAACAACATACTAAGACAGATAGTTGGGAAGAAAAGAGAGGGACAGAACAAAGAGCTACACCACAGCTTTTGCTGTCAAAAATGAGCCCCACTGGATCTCAGGTCTGGTCTGTTGGGGCATACCGAGGTTCCAAAGCAACTGTGGGATGTTCACATACTTGCCAGTGAATGCAGAGTTGTTGATCCATCGCCACCTTTTCTCCGAAGGCTGGTACACTAAGCCTATGAAGTACTTTTCGGCACTAATTTTGTCTTTGAGAAACGTCTAGATATGAAAAACAACAATAGCAACAACAGTTCAACACTAAGTCTCTCACAACTTGTTCCTTTGTACCCACAGGCCCGTGATTATGTCTGATTCTGGGAAACATGAAGTCTAGTAGGGCACCCAACCCTGAGAAGCAGTCCTCAATCTCCTGAGGCCAACAGGATCACCGAGAGGGCTTGCCAAGACACAGGATTCTGAGTTTTTGGCACAGTAGGTATGGTGGAGGGACTTAGAACTTATTCAGACACACCTCAGGGATGTGTAGGTTCAACTTCAGCTCACCACAGTCAAGAGAGTCTCAAGAAGTTCCTACTTTCCCAGTACATATACAAGTTATGCGTACACTATACTTCAGTCTGTTAAAGTATAAAACTTTGATGAAAACTTTGAAATATTGCAAGAATTACCCAAATGTGACACAGAGGCACAGGAGTATATACATGCTGTTGGGAAAATGGAATTGCTCAATGCAGGGTTGCGAAAGACCTTCAAATTGTAAATAAAAATAAAGCAAAGTGCAGTAAAACCAGACATGCCTGTATGTCTCATAAATGTCAGGTGTTGCCTCTGCCCTTGGAGGGCTACACCTTGAGAGGAAGGAGGATGGCCATTCTGCCATCTAAACCAGATTCTCAAATACGTATTTTTAATATCATATGCTTCTCTGCATAGGATTGTTTTAATTGCCAGAAATTCTGTCTTTCAAACGACGGAGAAGAGGTCAATAATGAAATGTTCTTGTGTTCCCTGAGTGCTTGGCAAGGAAGCTCAGTGGGGACATTTAAAAGTAGATGATCCAAGGAGAATTAATCAAGTGCAGACTGGATGTTTGCTAGATCAACACTGGTCCAAATGCATCTTCGATCGTGTCTTAAATTAATGAATCACAGATCACTCCCCAGAAGTCTGGGAGTTCCTCAGCTTCATTCTGTCCTCTTCACATGCTTCCCATTACCAGTGGGCATCCAAGTCTTACTCTCTTCATCCTCATACCCACTTCCTTAACTTCTTTCCCCAAGTTCCCCTTTCCTTGAAATATCTCATGTTGTTAATCTTAAGAATTAATTGCTGCAGTCGATCATTTAACAGACTTTCTTGAGTGTCTATTATGTGTCAGATATTTGAGAGGTTGGGGAAATGGAAACAGTCTGCTTCTCCTTGAAATTATGGTGTAGCAGGACTTGTTGAACTATAACAAGGAGTCCAAATCCAGACTGCAGCCTGATTTTGTAAATAAAGATTTACGGGAACACAGCCACATTCATTTGTTTATGCATTGTCAATGGCTGTCTTTGAGCTAAAATGTCAAAGCTGAGTAGTTATGATAGAGATTGTATGGATAGAGGCAAAACCTACAATCTTTGCTCTCTGGTCCTTTAAGAAATGGTTTGTTGTCCTCTGAAAGGCATCACATTAGAAGGACCTGGAGAGAGTAGGAGAAAAATGTGGAACAATTTTTCTTAAAATAAGACCAGTATTACTGTCTTATAGAGACTGGTGAAACCCCAAGAATATGGTTCTTAATCATTCTTTAAGTCTCGAAAAACACTCAGTGCCAATGTTCAACTTTTAGCCAAACAATAGACAGGTCTCTAAAGGGAATAATAACATGAGGGAGGTTTGCACACCTTAGAATAATCAGCTATTTGAAATACGAAGGGCAGAATTTACCCATGAACAAAGTTTAGAAGGTTCAGGAAGGAAAGAGGAAAGGAAACAGGAAACAGGGAGGAAGTGGGATAAATAAGTGACGTTACATTGTGGAGACTGCAATCAATGACAACCAACAAAATATGTACAAATTGTTGAATGGAAAACTTATCTGCTCTGTAAACCTTCATCAAATCCATAATAAAAAGTTAAAAAAAAAATGGAGAAAACACTCTTGTGCACAGAAAATGTTAGCTGCACATTTTTTAACTATCTATTGAAGCCCCTGAAGTTTGATCGAGAACATTATGCTTATAGAATGTTTTTATGATGTGTGGCATGGCCTTCATTACAGTTTTTAAGAAGTCAATAATGCCAATATGTTTAAGAACCATGAATATAACAGCAGATAGATGGTGAACTGGTGTGGTGAGATCAGAAATGTTTGACACAAGCACAAAGAGGAATTGATTGGGTCTACAGGGATTTGGAGTTTTCTAGAAAGACCATGGGTAGTATTTGAGCTGAATTTTGAGAAATTGCTGTGTGTCAGGTGCATGGTAGGGAAGGTGTGGGTCAGGATTGGACTTCCTAGAAGAGAAGGCTTTGCAAGCCATCTTTGGAGAGCAGCCTGGGGTGTTGGGGAGAGATCTGCGATGTTCAGTCTGGTAGGTACAGAGGTGAACCAGAGAGATGAGTCTAGAGAGAAGGCAGAGTATGAAAAGTCTACATATCATGCTATAAAAACTGGCCTTTAACCCACTTTAATTTGGGAAATACCACAATGTAAAGTCTCAGCGATGCTATTATGTTAGTTTTGTGGAGGGTGGACAGGAAAGAGACAAAACTAGGGGTGAGAAGATGAGTTGGAGGGATTCTAAAACTATTCATTTATAAGCTGAATTAATGGCTATGGGACAGAGAGACCAGCACTTGGTAAGGAGTTGATTTAAGAGGTCAGGGAGAAGACGCAGTTCCAGGAAACTCTGAGCTTCTCTCTTGGGTGACACAATGACTCACAGTTTGAGAGTACAAGAGGAGACACAGTTGGGGTAAAACATGAATGACTCAACTTTGAACCTGTTGAGTTAGCAACCCTTTTGAAACACCAAGGTAGAATGTCATTACTGTGCGGTCTAGAGGAGAAGGCTGAGTTGGGGATACAAGCTTGAGCATCATTGACAAACCATCAGTATGATGAGTATTTCCTGGGGCAAGCAGAGTGTAAGAAGTGGAGAAAGCCAGGATGGAATTGGAATGCACTGAAACTTAAGTGTGAACAGAAAGGGACATCATCTTCCAATCTGGTTCTCCGCTTCCTTTCCCTTTTCTCCTTTCATCTGGACCATGGTCTTCTGTCTTATGATGTTTTCCCTGTCCACCTGGGTTCTTAGCCTGAAGCTTTTGTAGCATCCATTAGGGCCCTTGTTCTATGGGGAGACTGAAAAAGACCCTTTTCCAAATTTTTCTCTATTACAAGACCTTTAGATGAGGGACCAAGGGATGGAGGGTGAGAAGCAAGTAATAGCGTATATGTCATAGTACCAGGCACTCAGCAAATGCTTAGGATTTGGAGGAGTGAGAATTGTAAGTAAGCTTGCTTAAGAGTGCATGTTTTGGAGTCAGAGAGATGTGAATTCAATTACATGTTCTGTTACTTAATAGTTGTGTGCCTTGGTCAAATTATAAAATGTGGGTAACAATACCTCCTTCTCAGAGTTGTTATGAGGCAACAAGCATATCATAAGTATGAAGTTCTGTGCATAGTGTTAGGTATTTTTATTGTCCATACGATGAACTGCAATTCCAGTGCTATGCTTCTTCATTTTTCATATTACTAATTTAGTTAATTCACATCTTCTTTTACTGACTAGACAGACTGCATAGTGACAGCTCACATCTATGAATATTCTGTAGTTTTTGAACAACAGCCACACTCAAAAGCTCATTGGGTTGTCCTTGCGTATCTTGGACCATCCCCATGCTGTGCCTGAATGGAAAGACTTCAACCTAAGGAATACACCGCACTCTCCTGAGAAGACTCTCCACCCTAAGCTCAGAATGAGGAGCTTCAGCTGTTCCCCGCTACATCCCACTTCCCTAGGCCCTTTGCCCGGCTGCCTTCCCCCATAGCAACAAGTGCAGATGGGAAATGTTTCTGACCGCACCCCTCCCATTCTCTCACCAGCTTCTCTTGGGTGTTGACTATGGCCAGGGAGGACCCCTCATCTTCACAACTCTTCCTGCTGTTCTCCCAAGGCAATTCAGTGGTTGACAAGAAGAAACATCTCCCTGAATTCAGATTCCACCCTCTGGGGCATTCTGGAGACATCAAAGAAGAGAAATAGGTGTTTGGGGTGAAACCCTGGGGCTGAGTTCTAAGGCAGTGGGACTTTGGTTTCTTTATAAGAAACAAAACACAACTGTTGTTGATGGCCACTGGGTTCATTCCAGCGTAGAGTGCCCACATGTGACAGAGTAGAAATGCCACATGGGCTTTTCTAGGATGCCATCTTTAGGGCAGCACATCTCCAGGTCTTTTTCCCACAGAGCCATTGGGTGGGTTTGAACTGTCAAACATTCAGCACTACCTTTAACCATTGTGCCACCAGAGCTCCTTTACTTCCATAGGCATCATCTACAAACCAGAAGGAATACAGCAGCTCAGACATTTTGCCCCATCTGGTTTCAATTTCCTTGTTTATAAAACATAGGGAATAAAATTTAATTGGATGGCTCAATTAGAGCAAAAATAGAAAGACAAGTCTGAGGATTTAGCACCTAAGGACCTAGGGGTGGGATGGTTTAGGTCCTGCACTATATTTGTTCCATAGCTCCCTGTGGGGGTGACACTTCCTTCAAAATTCTTGTGGGATTAAGAAGAAAAGCCAAGCTGGAGATCGCTGCATGTTGAACACATTGCTAGACCCTCATGGCGGGTCATGTTTCAGGATCATGGGGAAGAAAAGGGAATCCTGGACACTCTGCACTAGAATTCTTCATAGACTTTCCTTCTCTGAACCCCTCTTCCAACCTCTACTGCTATGTGCTGCACCCATACCCAGAGTCCATGTCCCAATCTTTTTTCAGATGTAGTTGTTGTTATTAAGTGCCATCGAGTCAATTCCGACCCATAGGGACCCTGTAAAGGATTTTCAAGGATCAGTAGTTGAGCTTGAATCACCAACCTTGTGGTTCAAATGACTTTGCTGTCTGATACATTAGCCCACAGCTAAATGCTGAGGAAACAAAATAAAACAGGAAAAGGTAAAATAATGGCAGAATTTAGGGTCACAGGGAAGCACCCCTGCTTCCTGTCTAAATATGCATCATTTGACACTGTGTTCCCAAAGTGTGCTTTGGAGCATTTCCACCCTGAGGTCCACACAGCACCCTATTCTGGAGTGCCCTACCCTATGGGAACACTCATATTCCTGGCAGGCCAATCTTGGGCTCTTTTCTCATCTTTACACATTAGCTCTAAGGAGTGTGGTTAATGGGTCAGGTTTCAGGAGCAATGAGTACAGAATGAATAGGAGGAGCAGGTAAACATTCTAGAGATATCCTATGGGCAGAGAATGAGTTTTCTCGAGCTGACTCCAACTCATGGTAACCCCATGTGTGTCAGAGGAGAACTGTGCTCCACAGGATTCTCAATGACTGATTTTCATAAAAATTTCCACTCATGATGTCCTTGTGTGTAACAGAGTAGAACTGTGCTCCAAAGTTTTCAGTGGATGATTTTTCATAAGTGATTTCACTCATGACACCCTCTCATGTGTCAGAGAAGAACTTTACTATACAGGCTTCTCAATGGCTGATTTTTCAGATGTAGATTCCATACATGGTGCCCATACTTGTGTCAAAGGAGAATTGTGCTCCATGGGGTTCTCAGTGACTGATTTTTAATTTTTTATGTTTTTATTGTGAATTGAGTGATAGTTTACATGGAAGAATATCAGTTTTGCACTCATCCTATTGTATTTTGTTTCATTGCAATGATTATAATCCCCTCCATGCACCATCATTCAACAGTATTTGCTTCTTTTCCTTCTGTGTGTGTGTGTGTGTGTGTGTTTTGATGTGCACCAAAACACTCAGGAATATATAATCATTTAAACTACCAAAGGATACATTCTGCAAGCCTGCTTGTTGACGTCCAGCACACAGCCTTTCTCTTTCCATGAGTCTAGACTGCTCTATCTCTCCATGTTAACATCTCTGGTGTCAATGACTGATTTTTTCATAAGTAGATTCCACTCATGCTGCCTTCATGTGCGTCAGAGTAGAACTGAGCTCCACAGGATTTTCAGTGGCTAAGTTTTCAGAAGTAGATCATCAGGTCTTCCTTCTGAGTTGCCTCTGAATAGACTCAAATTTTTAACTCTTTGGTCAGCAGTTGAGCATATTAACCGTTAGCACTAAGGGGCTTCTTGGCAGAATCTCCTTAGATACAAATAGGGGAGTCTCCTTTTTTTCTGGGAATGCTAGCTGTCTGCCTAGCTGGCTGAAGCAGCTTCACACACTGGCCAAGCCCCTCCTTAAGGCCCAGTTATCCATCAGTCCACCAAGGTTGAAGACAACTTTAGTTAACCTAGACTTAGTAGTTACTTAAAATTATATTAATAAACCTGAAAATTATCATTTGTTTTGTATTTTAGTCCTCCATTCAGAGATCCTTTGTCACGTGCCCAGCATTTGGTTTTCATAAGTAATTCCTTGGGATTGCAATTGCTCAGAACTCATGAAATGCTCTGTGAGCAGTTCTTCCGTAAAGCTCACTCCACCTGGTGCCTCAGTTGATACGCATTGCTATCAAGTTGATTCCAACTCACAAAATCCTACAAGACAGAGTCCAACTGCCCCCCCCCCCAGGGAGTCTGAGGCTGTCAGTCTTGATGGGGGCAGACAGTGTGATTTTTCTCCTGTGGAATGGCTGGTGTGTTTGAACCATGGACTTTTTCCTTAGTGTCTGCTGGGAGCCGTTGAGGGTAGAGGATGGCTTCAATTTGCTGCTTGACACAGTTCCAGCAAATAAGAGGAGTCATTTTGTAAGACAGATGGCTCTCAGAAGTTGCTTCCTATCTTTTCTTTAGATTAATCTTAATTTTACTTGTAAAAATATATAATATGGCCATATTCACAGCCATTCACTATGAATTTTACAAACCTTAGGAAAAACTAGCTTATCAACAATTGCTTTCAGCCTTGGTGGATTGAATACAAAGAGAATTGTGTAAATTACTCCTTTTCATAGAAAACCTAAGTAACTGCATTTGTGAGGCCACAAAAGCAGATAGCATATTAGAGTCAAGCTGACCTACCCCCTTAGACCTCACCACAATCAGTCACTAGCTAGAATTCACAAACCCCTACATACAAGCACCTGCGTAAACAAGCAGAAAGTAATGAACTAAAGTGAAGGATAGTTTTGATTTAATAATCTATACTTCCTGCAGCAATTAGCCATGTTGGGCTTTATGCCACATAGCTTCCAAGCAATTAAATGAATACTTTAGGAAAATAAATAAGTAGATGTTAGTTTTACCTTTATTATAAAAATAATAATACATTGTATAGGATAGAAAGTTGATAATGAATCAGTAGGAATAGTGAGGTAGTGCAAGCATTAATGATTAGTAGAAACTTAGGTTACTAAGAAAGTGGAATCAGTAGTCTGATAAGTAGCAATGATTTGTGTACGGTTTGACTTAATCTTTAAGTGGAAACAAGAAGAAACCGTTTATCACATGCTGAGAAAAGAGATGAAGGTCAGTTGAACATCACAGAAATATTTTTGTCAAAGTTGTCTAATGACCAGGTGCAAGAATGTTGTGATTAACTGTGTAATAATTCAAGAAAAGATCAAAGTGTTAATTCATTATGTACTGTGTAGTTTGAAGTATAAAAATAAAGACTTGCTGAGCTGGGCTGGCAGAGAGTAGTAGAAGAACAGAGAAAGAACAGCTAAGGACAGCAGTAGCAGGAGGAGCACTAGTAAAAGCTGGACAGCCCAGCAAGCTGAAAGGCCTCTCGATTGTATTCATTTCTTCATCCGCCGATTCCACATATCCTCTCGTGTCCCACTACCCCCGCTGAGAGCTGGTCTCCCCGCAGCAGTCCAACAAAAATTGATACTATTGACGAATAAGAAAAGATCCCTCTTGTAAAGAATCTATGGGCATCTGTGTCTTAAGAGGAAGTGAGAGGGAGATTGCAGGGGGAAAGTTTTCTAGTAAAGGGGGAGATGCATTTAGCAGGAACAATTCTGTTCGCTCATCTTCTAGAGTAGTGTCTGGAGTTAAGCCTTATGCTTTAAAGATGATGTTCAACAAAAATCGCCTGCGTTTATTCTTATTTTATGGATGCCTAGGAATCCTGGTAGCATACCGTTAAGTGCTCTCCTCTGTCCTTTGCGGTGTTTATGGGTTGGAATCATCTCCATGGCAGTGAGGATAAACTGAGGCACCAAGTGGTGTGTGAGCCATCTTGGGAGACAGATCTGGTGACCTTGCTAAAGAGCATTGTTGTGTACTATCAAGTTGGTTCTAAGCCATCGTACTCCATGTGACAGATTAAGGTAGTCCCTTAGGGTTTCTTTCCTAAATTGGGATCTTTATAGAAGAAAGCCTAGAGGCACAGTGGTTAAATGCTCAACTGCTAACGAAATAGTCTGGGGTCCTAGTCCACCAGCTGCTCCACAGGAGAAAGATGAGGTAGTCTGCTTCTAGAAAGATTTGGAAACCCCACGGGCAGTTCTACTCTGTCACACGGGGTCACTCTATGTAAGAATTGACTTGATGCCACTCAACAACAATATAGCTTGACTATCATGTAATATCTGGTATCAAAAAGATGTTCAGTACACTTTAGGAGTCCTGGTTGGCACAGTGGGTTAAGTCTTGGACTGCGAGTCTAAAGGTTGGTGGTTCGAACCTACAAGATGCCCTTTGGGAGGAAGATGGGGCAGTCTGCTTCTGTAAAGAGTTATGGTCTT